ATACTTCATATATATGTATAGGTAGTACACTTAATACTTAGTATACTTAAAATTTACTATCACAAATGTACGGTAAGTATGTTTGAAATATACTAAAGTATGCTTTTTATTCACTTGGGACATGATGATTAAGCGGCGCAGCAGGTGATGAGTGAAGATTACTGGTGGTGAGGGTCAATAAAAACGATAAAATAAAACTAGCAACAGGAAAGAAACTAAAGAGAACAACAATAAACCAAGAGAGGACAATACTAATCAAAGAAAACTGAATGAAAATGCATGAAGAACAAAATGCAAGAATAAACTAAGAAACTAAATTAAATATAGAGGAATAAACTGGTATGACAAGACCTTTCGAGTAGAGGTTTTATCTGAAAAAATTTTTTTCAGAAAAAAGATAAAATAATATAGTTATTGTCATGATATGAGGGAAGACAGGAGAAGCAATCGTCGGTTGGAAAGCCGTCTTTATTTAGCTAGAGCACGAGGTAACATGAACAGCTTCTTATTCGAACTCGTTTCCCGGTATATCTTTCTATTGCTCCCCCCAGTGGTTAGGAAACCAAACTACCATTACAATAGATATACAATAGAAACTAATCTCACAACAGTTATATTATATGTTATATTGGAATATTTTTTCCACTCTGATTGGCTGCTGTTAGGCCTACCGATTTTAAGTTGAATGTCCATTACATTTTTTGTAGACACCTGTAAAAATAATTTCTATTCCACATGGTGTTTTTGTTCTCTGGGAAATTATTTTTGATGATAAATACAGAAACAACCATAAAAATCAAAACGTCAACAATAGTGATATAAATATTAACAATAAAATAATATTCAGTGCAAACTAGAATTCATTTTCTTATATGGGGGACATAAGGGACCTGAATAATGGGCGCTGGTCAAAAAAGGTTGAGAAACACTGTCATAGAACAAAGTCTATGAAAAAAACAGAGGAGTATAGGAGAAAATTGGTTCAAAACTAAGTCTCAAAAATTTGTGGCGGCATATTTAGTGTTTACCTTTCAGCATTTGTAGATTATAAAGATAATCTACATTAAATTAAAGCCTATCACCCTCAAGAAAGGGTGGCAGGGTGGTAAACTTGTGTCCCTGTCTTTTTCTATTTTGTTTAGTCTTGTGACACCAACTGAGCTTCATTACCAGCAGAATGGCTAACAATGATAAAGGTTCAGCACCAAGTCTCTCTGCACGCCAGCTCCAGTCCCACCTCAAGATGGAGCCAAAGACTTTGGGGGTAAAAAGGCATTTGAAGTTTGAAAGTTTAAAAGTGTATTATGTATATTGTTTTTACACTTTGATAGCAAGGTATTTTTATTGAGTAATAAAATAGGGGGATTACACTTCTCATTTTGTTTTATAAATCTGTGATTATTACTTCCTGTATCCTCCTGTATCCTTTCCAGGCAATCCAAATAGTTATTGGAGCTTTGATCCTATGTCTTAGTGCCTCTGTGCTTCAACTCCATGAAGTACACTTCACTGGGGATGTAGCCCTGTTCCTCATTGTTGTCATGCAGGTAAGACAATTGGAATTTATAGTTAGCATATTTTTAACTGTGGCAAATTTTACTATATTTTATTGTGTGTTACTTATCTAAGACAAGATATCGCTGTGATCTTTACTTTTATTTTCTGTTGGAACAGCAGCCTAACCAGATTTTCTTGAAATGCATCAGGTGACATTGTCTGGCTCAGTATTGGTCCATAGTGGCAGAAAACCAACAATGTTTTGGGTAAGTCTAAATAAAATCTAAACAGTCCTGACCGTCTTTATACACATCTATCTATCTATCTATCTATCTATCTATCTATCTATCTATCTATCTATCACGTGTAATGAAACACATTGGCTGGTGAGGCACTGACTTAATCATAATCATATTTACAAATGTAGACCCCCTGCCAATCCTTACAAGCAAATTATAAATGGTGATTGATTGCTTTTCCATTTTTCCTTTCATGAGCTAGAACAATTAACATGCCAACTGACTCCTGAGTATTATGTTTTCTTTGAGTAATGCACAGTCCAGCTATGGAGTAAATTTACTTGGGCATCCATTGTTGAACTAGAAATATTTCCTAAAATTATGTTATTTAATGTCAACCAGAATAACACTGCACATGAATGCTTCTATTTTTATTTCCAGGTAAAATGTGTCCTGGTGCTCCATCTGGTCAGTGCTGCATTTGCTACTGCTGCCCTGGGTCTTATGTCCAAACATCTCCCCTACCGCCAGGATTCTTACCACTGTGAACACTGCCGAAGACTAGAGCAACATGCTGTGGTATTGTGTTTAAAATATACAAAAATTATTTCCTTTTATATTTACATTTTATTAACAGAAAAAACTCTGAATAAATAAACACAGATGTTTCTAGCAATAATGACGCAGAAATCTACCAAATTTCCTGCATGAGGGAGCCAAGATTTGTCTTCTACGATGATGATTTATACTTAAAGTCTTGCCTGGTGCGAGACTGAAACAATGTTTGCGGGACAGAAAGATACCCTTTGTCTGATTAATATAGTCCCTAATAGGATTTAATTAAACTATTAAATATGTACAGTTAGAACTTTAGGTGAACAGTTCAATTGCCCACGCATGAGAAAGGGCCTTACTGATGCCAAAGGCCATACAGAGACTTATTTGTTATGGAATAGCAGAAGTATTTTGATTCTTGAATTTATCTGAAGAGAGAAAACAACTTAAGAAGTGTTAAAATGTTGTGGAAGTTAATTAGTTGAAAAAAGTTTTTCTGTATTTTCTTATTTGAGGTAGCTGTTAGCACCACTGAATCACAGCATACAGATTCTGGGTTAGATCTCTATGATTTCTTTTTATGTTGTCCCCATGAATACATAGGATTTCTCCATGTACTCTCAATTTTTTACACATTAAAAACCTTCATATTTATTTGGTGACATGGGAGAAAAAAAAAGCATGTAGCAACGACTCATTCAATTCATGGGAACAAAATTAAATGAAAAGTGAGTCAGTGACTAGCAGTTCATTGACTAGCAGTTGTCAGCTGCTTTGCAAACATGGACAAGTCACTCATTTTGTTTTATTAATCTGAGAATGAAATGTCATCTTGTTCAGTCATTTGCAGTTAGGCATGGAGTAAGTGGTAGCAAGAGACACTTAATTCAAGTGCTCAAAAAGCACTTGAATTCTGAGAACAGAATGGGTCTATGACCCATTCTGTTCTCAGAGTTCTGTCAGAATAATTATTTTTATGTGTTATTTCTTTCCTGGAGAGTTCTAAGTTTATTTGCAAAGCATTTGAGAACAACATGGTTCTCCAAAGTGCTGTGTAATAAGTTACCTGTTCTGTTCATTGTTACACTGTTATAGATTGTAACCTTCGTTGTTCCTGTTCACAGCAGCAGGTCTGTTTATCTCAACCTTTCTGACCAGAGCTTATTCTCTCCTCTCTGGTCTTCTGCTGTATGGGAGGCCTGGAGTGTGTAATTACGCACTCTAAGCTGAGACAATTTTTTGTTATATGCGAGCAGATGCTTCATGGTGGTGGTCTGGATGGACCCAGTGAGGCATAGACTACATCCTGCTCCGCCATTAACCCACTAGCGATAGCCTTAAAGGGCGAAGCCTATACGAAATAGAACGTTGGTTACATATTGTAATCCCAGATTCTATGAGTATAGGTGCAGCCCTTTAAGCTGTGGGTCAGTATTTTACCGTTCTTTTGAAAGAACNATGGAGTGATGGAGACAATGACACCCGAAGTGTTGCTTATATCCACAGCCTGCTTGGTCTCTACGTGGTGAAGCAGTTTGAAGCTTCATTGCCTCATTAGCAGCAGGTCGCTGCATGTTACTCAGAGCGGCTTGTGATGTTTGACTCACCAACCGGTCCGGGATGAATCCATCCTCCTGTCTCTTCTCTGGGCCTTTTCCCCTTTGCAAAGAAACTTTCCAAAGACATCTGATCCGTTTCTTACTCATTTTGCTGCCTGTGTTGGCGCGCAAGTAACTGAGAGAATCCGGTTAAAGGATTTTCAAAATAAAAGGTCCTCCAGACTCAAATAATACATAAAATGGAAATATTTAATTATTTCTTGAGCGGCCCGGTACCAATTGGTCCATGGACCGGTCCGTGGACCGGGGGTTGGGGACCACTGCTGTAAATCAATGTCTCAGTGCAAGCGATGGCCTGCTGTCACCCCCTGCTGGTCAGGAGTGAATACTGTAAGTTTCTTTGGAAAGTAATTTAAATAATAAAACTGAACTTGATGCTCAGATTGATAACCAGGATGAACTGGAATGAATGTTTCATTGATTTAAGTTTTGTATTTTGTAAAACATCCTCCAGACTTTTGTCAGTGAAATCAATATCACTGAAAGATTCAAAGGTTGAGTTTCTGAAAGAAGACAGCAAAGTTGTTTCATGTAAAGACCAGAATCTGTAATGTTTTTACATTTTTCAGAAAGTGATCTTTTGGTGTTTTTATCTCAGCAATACAGAGTTTTTAAATGAAACGTTATTGACTCTCTTTACGCAGATGTCAGAATGAAATCATTCCTTTTCTAACACTTATCCTTCCACTAAATTATCTCGCCTGTTTTCTCTAACATATTCACAACATAATTCACAGTTTTATTCGTATCCAGACCTTTTTCTCCGATCTTATTCATCAGACTGTTTCCCTTCTTCAGGTTTTCATTAACGCTCCTGTTGCTCTGCCTTTGCTTCACTGCTGATGTTTTCACAATCTGACTCATTTTAACAACAAATTTAGCTTTTTGGCTTCTAAACAGGACTGGCTGCTGCTTTAGATTTCATGGCTTTAATCTAAACTCGGTTTGGTACCAAAGCAGAAACGCTGAGTCTCACCTGCTACCTGAAGATGATGTGAGGCTGGTTGAGTTTGAAATGAATGAACGAAGTAGTGAGAATGGATCATTCCAGAAAACAAAAGTGCTTCCTGATGACATCATCTTGTTTTTTAAAAATAAGATGATTTCTCAGAGTAAAGTCTCTCCTCCGGCTCTGTTCGGTGTTTCTGCTCCGTCTTCCTGTGTATTTTTGGTTGCCGTGGCCCGAGGCCGTTTCAGCACCAGGGAGAGCTCCATCATGAAGATCAGAAAACGAAACCAGAGAAGGAGAAACAGCCGGTGACTGCCTTCGTGGTTTCTCTCGTCAGAGAAGAAAAACTGCTAAGTCAGCAGCTGTGATCTTCTTTCTGGAGGCTCAACATGAGGCTGCAGGGCCTGATGGTGGGCAGTCTGCTCTGATGTTGGGTCTGAATGTTTCCGCGGTAACAATCAGATCGACCTGGCCGGTGCAGCCAGACCCACTTCTAGATTCAAGATGCTGTCAGAAACATTTCCCAGAGGTTTGGTACGTCCATCGGCCTCTAGGGGGCGACCTTTGCTCCTTTATCTTGGTTTGCTGTCGCACCTGAAAACTCTTCCTTCTCTTCATCATCATCATCATCATCATCAGTGGAGCTGCGGTGATCCAGCAGTTTGAACTCTGAACGTTTATCAGCTCTGAATATCACTAAACTGCCTTCATATTTCAGTTTATTTGTTAACATCTTTGTTTTCACTGGATGCAAAACATACCGATTCAAATCCAAGCCATAACGTGACATACTAGTTACGCGTTTGTGTTTCCTTTAACTCAACAGCGCAGTTTGTCTCGGAGCGGGAGAAGATGTCCGTCTAATGGACGGTAATAAAGTTCCCTACATAAATCATAAGGAAGCAAAACGACATGTAAATTCAGCAGCGATTCGCTTTCATACACGGTGGGACGACGTCCAACTTTATCGTCACTTAGAAAAGTAGCTCAAAGAAAGTGCTGAGGAAAATAAATATTCTCAGTGTTTAATACAGTTAAATCTTACAACATATGAAAATAGTGGATTAAGGAAGAGTCCTTTGGATAACATCTTAGAGGGCTTTAAGTTAAAGGATGTCTGTTATCAGGGAGGAACCAGGCCATGAATTAACTCTGGCACAAAGACAGCGAGGAGACATCTCCCTCAGAGAAACACTAAAACTTAAGGACAAACAACACATAATACTAACAATAATTACAATTTAATTAGTAGAATACCATTTAGTTAAAATTAACATGAATTGAACTAATCTAATTTGTACTTTTATATTAACAGCACTGGTGTCTAAATCAGGCTAAATTTGTAACACTAAATGAGCCAAACATATAATCAAAACTAGTATAACATTAATTAGAAAATGTTTAGAATGAATGTGTTTATATTGAAAATGCTCAGGTATATTCTATAAGTGTTTTATTCTTAAAATCTGCACTTTAATCTAAGAGGATGCAGATGTTCTGAACCACTTTGCGTACCAGGCTTCATGTGGATTTAAAATTACTGCACTGATCTGGATTTGTAGGAATTACACGACAGGGAAATAAAATAGGTCTAAGACAGGTTAACTTTTGGTTGAACTCTGGTGGAAGACTAGAGGCTTTGTTCCAACCAGGAATTAGGAGAAACATCACATCTCAAACTGGCATGAGAAGAGCCTGCTCTAAATGACCCTATAGGTCTCCCTTGTCTAGATTGAGAAGCGCCGTAGCCCTGAAATTAAACAGGTCTCACAAGGTAATAAAATTGCCCAAACTGAGTAATTTGAAACTGGGTCTATCCATACCAGGAGAACAACACGCCTTAATCGCGTAAATTAAAACAAAGGAAACACCTTTTGAATAAAAGTATGGATCCTAGAGGAACGAATCAGATTTTCTTTTGTAACTCTCCAAATACATCTTTGCCTTTCTTTCTTCTTCTTTTCTATTTGTCTCAGGTGAACGAATGTCTGTTTTAGTGTGTTTTAAGTGTCTGTGTTATCAATATGATTTTATACTTTTAAATGTTTGTCATGATGTGTGATGAGGAGAGGTGAGGATGAACGCCGAGACCCAGGTTGTGAAGAAAATGATGAATTTAATGGAGACAGTCCAACACAGACGGCATGGCAGAGTTTAGCACACAGCTAATTACCGGAAGCTACTGATACACAGGACAGAAAGCGAGAGCTAAACGCTAACCAGGACTTCACAGTTCGACTGGAGAGCAGAAACATAAGACAACAACTGACATACGACGAGGACCCGACAAGAGACGAAGACAACAGCTGGGTTTAAATACACCGGGAGGGTAAATAGGAAAACTAGACACAGCTGGGATCAATCAACAGGGAGGACAGGACATCACAGAGACACACGGGGAAACAAGGACACGGAAAAAAACAAGAAATAAATACACAAAAACACAGATCGTCACAATGTTAGAATAAACTCTGAAAATGCATGATGTGGAGCTCTGATTGTTAACTCTGTGGCTTCTATTTCCACGCATGGCATCAATGAGAGCACAAGGGAATACAACGAGCCAGAAGTGAATTATTTTATTCTCTTAAAAAAAGGTAAGCTCTGTGAGGTGATGCTAGCAAAGCTAGCTCTCCAGTATGGGGTTCCATTTGTGTCAAAAATAAGTAGAAGTCATATGTGTAGATGTGTTGTTGCTATGTGTCGTTGGTCTATGTTGCATGTAGATGATGCATATGTAGATGTTGCATATGTCTATGTTTTATATGCATTCCTGTATGTGTTCGCTGCATGTCTATGTTGCATGTCTATGTTGCATATGCGTTCGCTGCATGTGGTTCATGTTGTTGGTCCTTGTCGTTGGTCCGTGTTGCTATTGCCTGTTCTCTTTGCCATTAAAAAGTCTTGAAGTAGGTCATGTATGATCAAATTGTTTATTAGATATTACAAAAATGATGGTCTTTCAATATCAGTGGTTTCAATAAAATTGTTTTCAAAATGTTAAGATTTCTGTGATATCTTCACTTCCAAGAAGTAGTAGTCACTGTCAGTCGTTGTCTTTAACTTGTTTATTCGGTCTTGAACACAACTTAACACACTACAGGCACTAGCTCCTTCTGCCCTAGCCTTACTTGCTAAACTCTCCTTCTAGCTTCCCACTGCTCCCTCTAGTGGTCTGGGGGGTAATCCAACTAAACTTAAAGAAGGAACTAACTCAGTATACTACATCCCTCCCCCTTTAAGAGTCAACTAGGTTAGTAAACTTAACAAGAACTAACCTTCCAATGATTCTGACGGTAATATCAGAACTCTATATATATTAAACATGGAAGGTGAACAAACTAGCTAGTCCAGAGAACACTCTTACTTAAGGTACTCACTACTTGCACAAAAAGTCACTCAGATAAGGAGGAGTCTTTGTTTGGCGTTCTGAGCAGCGTAGTACTGGTGGTGGATCTGTTCTCTGTCCGATGTCCACATCTGGCACATCCACCGCAGGAAAATGAACCTGAGCTGTTTCAGCAGGCTCCACCAACGCCCATCCTCCTGAAGATGGAGCCACAGAGTCCATCGGCCCGAGCGCCACTACTTCATCTGGAACCTGAAGAGCACACTGTGCTCCAGCCCCATCCATCCCCCTCTGCATCACATGTTGTTTCTTGATTTGATCAACATGACGCCGCATGACACGTCCATCTCCCATCTGCACAGTATAAGACACTGGACCTGTGCTCCCTACAATGATGGCAGGCACCCACTTCGGTCCATGACTGTAGTTACGGATGTACACATCATCGCCGGGAGAAAAGCTTCTCCACTTGCTGTGGGTGTCATGATATTCCTTCTGTTTTGCTTGCTTCTTACGTACTTTCGCCTTGATGTCTGGCAGCAGGAGATCCAGCATGGAACGCAATCTCTGTGACATCAGCAGTTCAGCAGGTGACAAGCCTGTGGTACTTTGTGGTGTGATTCTGTAGTTAAACAGGAATCTTGCCAACCTCGTTTCCAAAGTGTCCCCTTTAGTTTTCTTCAGGCCTTGTTTGAATGTCTGTACAGCCCTTTCAGCCAGGCCATTTGATGCTGGGTGGAAAGGTGCAGATGTAACATGCTGTATTCCATTCTGTTTCAAGAACATTTCAAACTCTTGACTTGTGAAGCATGTGCCGTTGGCTGAAACTATCATCTGGGGTAGGCCATATGTGCTGAAGCACTGTCTGAGTTTCTCTATGGTAACTTGACTTGTTGCACTGTTTGTGGGATACACATCAATCCATTTCGAATGTGCATCTACCACGACAAGAAACATCTTGCCTGAGAGAGGGCCGGCATAATCCACATGTAGTCTACTCCAGGGTGTCTCTGGCCACTCCCAAGGGTGCAGGGGTGCAGCAGCTGGAGCCTTCCTATTTTCCTGACATGTGCGGCAGGATTGTACTTCCTTCTCTATTTCAGCATCCATCCCTGGCCACCACATGTAAGAACGTGCCAAACCTTTCATTCTTGAGATGCCAGGATGTATACAATGTAGTTGTTTTAAAAGGGTAGACCTTCCCTTCTGTGGAACAACCACTCTGGCACCCCACAGTACACAACCATCTTTCACAATCAACTCTAACCTTCTCTGACTGTAGGCCTTGAACTGAGTGTCCACTTTGTCGGGCCAACCTTTTAAACACCATGACAGCACTTGTGACAGAATTAGGTGTTTAGCTGTCCATTGTTGTACTTGGGATGTGGTGATGGGTGGATTATCCATCACAACCAGCATGAAGACTTGTCCTGAGTCTTCCTCCTCATCAGTCTGTGGCAGTGGCAGACGACTCAATGCATCAGCGTTAGCATGAACTTCACCTGGTTTGTATACAATGTTGTACTCATATGCTCTCAACAGGGTAGACCACCTTTGCACTCTCGGCAATCCCATTTGTGGCACTGGTTTTGTTTCATTAAAGAGGGAGATCAGAGGCTTGTGGTCAGTGCTGATTGTGAATTTCCGACCATAGGTGTACTTGTGAAATCCCTTGATCCCGAATATGATGGCTAACCCCTCCTTGTCGAGCTGTGAGTAACGCTTTTCCGCTGGCGTTAATGTCCTTGACATGAACCCTAAAGGTCGCTCACTCCCATCTTCCATCACATGTGACAGCACGGCTCCCACTCCGTATGGTGAGGCGTCACATGCAAGCACCAGGTCTCTGTCTGCTGAGTAATGACACAGTACTTTGGCTGATTTCAGCAGCTGTTTAGCTAAGCTGAATGCTTCCTGCTGTTCTTTATTCCAACACCATGGAACTCCTTTCTTCAGCAGACGATGTAATGGTGCTAAGCGTGTAGCAAGGTTAGGAAGAAACTTGTAGTAGTTTAGGAGGCCCAAAAAAGCTTTTAGTTCAAGTTACTGTGGTGGGAGGTGGAGCTTCCTCAATGGCTCTCACTTTGCTTTGTACTGGGTGCAAACCTTCCGCATCGATTCTGTGACCCAGGTATTCCACCTGATCCTGTAAGAATGCACATTTACTCCTGTGCAGTCGCAGTCTGGCTTCCTTTAGTCGTTTGAGAACTTCATCCAGCGTTTTCAGGTGTCCTCTGGTGTCACTTCCAGTTAGCAGTATGTCATCCAAGTAAACTACTACATTTGGGAGACCTTGCAACAAGCTTTCCATTGTTCTTTGGAAAATAGCTGGGGCTGATGACACTCCAAATGGTAGTCTGTTATAAGTGAAAAGGCCACGGTGTGTGTTTATCGTCAGGTATTTCTTGGAGTCCTCATCCATAACTATCTGCTGATATGCATGACTTAGGTCGAGCTTGGTAAACTGTTTGCCTTCTGTTAGTGCATTGAAAAGGTCTTCAACGCGGGGAATTGGGTATTGTTCCAGTGATGAAGCATTGTTTACTGTTAATTTATAATCACCACAAATTCTGACAGAGCCATCCGGCTTCAGAACGGGCACAATGGGCGCTGCCCAATCTGCATACTTTACTGGGGTTATGATATCCTCCTTTAAAAGTCGTTCTAACTCCTCTTCCACCTTAGACCTCATGGCATATGGGACTGAACGGGGTTTGTAAAATTTAGGATGGGCGTCTGCAGATACACGGATGGTTGCATGCACACCTCTTAACATTCCCAATTCTTCTTTAAAAACCTCTTCATGTCTCAAGAGAACTTCCTGTAATCCTTGTGCCTCTGTTTTCACGTGTTTAATCTCATCCCACTTGAGTTTCAATTCTTCCAGCCATCCTCTGCCTACGAGATTTGGTCCAGTTCCCTTCACTACCACTAGGGGCAGCGTTTTCTTCTGGTTTGCATAGTTCACTTCAACCTGAGCTACACCAACCACTGTAATTTTCTCTCCACTGTATGATTTAAGAGAGAGTTTACTTTCTTTCATCTGTGGTCGACCGTCTTTATGCCACAACTCCAAAAAGTGGTTTTCATTCATAAGACTGACACTACATCCTGTGTCAATTTCAAACTTCACTTCTTTTCTGTTAACTTCCACTTTTACTTCGAAGGGCTCAACTTTCTAGATAGACGTTTCCGTTGACAAACATGCTAGAGTGAATGCTTCTTCATCTTGATCTGAACTATTGTCTTCATCTTGTTTTTCACATACCTTGTGTGATCTGTGTGACCGTCCTTGGCGCCCGCCTTGACGTGCTCCTCTTTCCTTAATCCTGGTCTCATCTTTCTTTTTATTTCTGGACCTGCATGCCCTGGCAATATGTCCTATTTTCCCACAAATGTGACATTTGGCGTCTTTAAACCTACATTCGGCAGCACTGTGGTGTTTTCCATGACATCGGTAACTCTCTCTCTCTCTTTTCCAATCTGCTCTTTTCTTTTCCCTCCGCCTCCATGCTGTGACACGCCGCTGACTGTTGCAGGTCTGAAACGTTCCTGTTTGCAGCTTCCTCGGCGACAGCTATCTGAAATGCTTTTCCCAATGTCAGGTCACTCTCCGACAGCAGACGTCTTTGAATCCTATCGTTATCAATCCCGCACACTAGACGATCTCTCAGCCTCCGTTCCAGCACCAAAGTTACAATCTTGAGCCAGGCGTCTGAGCTCTGCTACATACGCACTGACGGACTCAGCAGGTTGACGGGAACGAGAGTCAAACTTGTATCTTTGCACAATCTCACTTGGTTTTGGATTAAAGTGCTCTTTCAGCCTTGTAACCAACTGACTGTACGTTTTAGAGCTGGGCTTGTCCGGGCTGACGAGGTTTCTCATTAGCTTAGACGTGGCTGGTCCCACCACACTAATAAGGATAGCCCTCTGCTTATCACCTTATCATATCATAGGCCTTGCTAATCACCTCCTTTGGTAATCTCTCCGCCTCGTGTGTATCCGCACGACAACGTGTGTCCGTTCCTTCCTCCGCTGTGAATCAGGTGCTTCCCGTTTCTAGTCAGTATCCTCGTCGCCAAAATGTGATATCTTCACTTCCAAGAAGTAGTAGTCACTGTCAGTCGTTGTCTTTAACTTGTTTATTCGGTCTTGAACACAACTTAACACACTACAGGCACTAGCTCCTTCTGCCCTAGCCTTACTTGCTAGACTCTCCTTCTAGCTTCCCACTGCTCCCTCTAGTGGTCTGGGGGGTAATCCAACTAAACTTAAATGAGGAACTAACTCAGTATACTACAATTTCTACCTCGTATTTTCTTTCGGCATTAGTCAGGGCAGCTAACGAGGTCGAGGGGGCCTGGCCCAGTGAAGGGGCGCTAAATTTCATTTTAAATCTGTGATATATCTTCATTTTAAGAATAATTTTTACTGTTGGCATGTATTTGAACTTCTCTCTTTTATTTACTTCAGGCACCTCACAGTTTTAAACAAATTCTGTAGTTTTCGGCGTATTTCTAAATCTGCTCCTTAGTCGCATCTTTTTGGGCCTTCTACTGCCTCTAGTGGCGTGGGGTGGTAACACAACTAATATAATTACATTACATTACTTGTTTGTTGCGACAGCTCGCTCTGTGAACTTTGCCATATTTCCAAGATGGCAAAAAATACACATTAAAATGTTCTAATATTCAATTTATCAGTCTGTCATTTGACTAATAGAGACATGAGTTTTACTCATAAAACCATCTGTTTTATGCAGCTAATAGCTTGGTATAAAGTGGAGCTAATAACAAAGATCAAAATAAGAACAAACATAAGGCATATATGAAAATTTAAAAGAAATGCCTGATGCTACATTGTGAAAAATATAAAGACTAGTGGAACTAAAATGTTCTTGATTGGCTCATTTCAACCAATCATCCGTGTGTGTTTCTGTTTCCGTGTGTTTCTGTGTGAGTTTCCGTGTGTTACGCTGGCCCTCCTCCTCCGCAGTGTGAGCTGCAGGTTCTCTCCTCCGTTTCCTGAAAGCAGCTTTGTGAGCTGGAAGCTTCTGCATCTGATCATCTGCTGGTTTAATTGATCTAATTATTGAACTCTGCTTGTGGATTCTTTGTATTTATCCAGTCAGGCAAAGTCTTTAAGATAAGGATATTCTTCTTATCGTTCCTTTTCTCCATCATTTCTTTTCCTCTTCGGCAGTTTAGCAATGAACTATTTAGTCACAGTTTGCTATTATCTGCTCTAATTGCTTGGTTTAGAGGATGTGAGGTGGTAAATGACTTTTCATCTCCAGCTTCCACATAGACCCTCATCATTTTCACTTCATTTTGATATCTGTGGCTGGATGAGGTTCTGTGTGTTGTGGCTGTTCTTGGTCAGCTCTGTTTGTAGCAGTTTAGCTAGTTTTGATTTCCAAGGCATGAGGAGGCAGTGTATCATGATTCAGCAAAAGTAATGAAATAACAAACTGTTTATTGTCAGTGTGTTTCTTCCCATTTAGCAGTGAAAGTAAATAAAACGTGTTGCATGTCTTTTGCTTTAAGTATTTACTTACTAGAGGGTTTTTTGTTAGTGATGCAGAGCCACAGCTAACAGCTAGCTAACAGCTAGCTCCTCCCTTAGCAGCTCTAACCAATCAGCAGCGCAGCTGTTGCTCCTCCTTCACTTTGGACTGAACCATTGTTCTAACAATGGGGGGGACCTAAAAATTCATTCTTATTTTCTTAGATGAATGGCAGATTTACTTCGTTCTTTGTTCCTATTGCCTTTTTTATATTGATATTGTTTAAATACAAGGGTTTCTTTCATGATTTCTATGGGGGGACAATTCTAGACTTTTCCAAGATTGGGGGGGTCCCTCCCCCCTGCCCCCAGGATTTACGCCTATGCTCTTCCTCTCGGTGAAGGCAGATGCTTCTTCCCTCTGCTCCCTCCCTGCCCTTGCCTGCCCTGCTTCCTCTGTTTTTGTCCCGTCTTTTTCTCTTTTTCTATATTTTTGGAGCCTTTCTTTGCACATCATCCAAATCTACAAATTATGGATCTGGTCAACCGATCTCTCAATGCAATGGATCAAATTTTCGACGAGAAGTCTGGGCACAGGAGAGCCCTCTTGTCCTGCGGGGACACACCCAGCAGGATTCACCCTGGATTTATTCATGATAACAGGATTTTTGCTGTATGGAGCTTGTGGATTCCTGGCTTATTGACAAATTTGTGACGGACTTGGCCGAACTGGCGAACACTCAGACTGTTGGTGTGGACAGAGACGCAAGTTGGATGCGAGTCTTGCTGAGACTCGCAGCCCAGCTGAGGACTCTAAAACTCACTAATGTAATGGAATCGATCTTGGAGAAGTTGCTGGTTTCGGCTCAGTGGAACGACCAAACTAATTTGGATGATTGGGAACTGAAATATGTCAGAGAGACTTTAGGGAAGATTGAAATTTATAATCTTCCCGACCTAAGACATTCTGTTTCTGAATTGGCTTTCCCCGTGTGGCCTTGGAAGGGCTGCATATCTCTAATCTCCTTGAAGATATGTAAACATAACGCTCCTTCCCTCCTCACCCCCTCCTGTATACATGCAGCTGTGGAGCTGAGCGCTCCCAAGGACATTCCTTGTTAAACAAGACCTTTATCGGACTTTTGCCGGGAGGTTGGGCAACGTNTTTTATCAGCAGTTAAAACTGTTTAATCCGTTGTTAACATGTTGTAACCTGTTTTTCCGAGCCGTCTTTAAACGCAACATGAGCGCTACGACGCTCGCGCTGGGTTTCCACCTGTGAAGGAGACCTGCTGCTGCGTGCGGCGCTACGTAGGTTTGTGTTAGAATCACGGCAGCAAACCAGCAAAACACAAAGAACTTTTCACTTTTCACAGTTTATCCCTCCAAACTAACCGACTGAGTTGAGTAAAGCTGTTGGATGAAGGTAATGTTAGCTAGAAGATGACTAGCTAATATCAATACAGAACCTTAAGCTTAACAAGTACCTTGTAGGCTACCGATGTTGGTGTCTATTTTCAGCTACATACATGCTGGTGTCTATTTTCAGCTACGTACATTCATTTTGCCCCCATAAAAGTCGAGCATTGTTTACTGTTAATTTATAATCAGCACAAATTCTGACAGAGCCATCCGGCTTCAGAACGGGCACAATGGGCGCTGCCCAATCTGCATACTTTACTGGGGTTATGATATCCCCCTTTAAAAGTCGTTCTAACTCCTCTTCCACCTTAGACCTCATAGCATATGGGACTGAACGGGGTTTGTAAAATTTAGGATGAACGTCTGCAGATACACGGATGGTTGCATGCACACCTCTTAACATTCCCAATTCTTCTTTAAAAACCTCTTCATGTCTCAAGAGAACTTCCTGTAATCCTTGTGCCTCTGTTTTCACGTGTTTAATCTCATCCCACTTGAGTTTCAATTCTTCCAGCCATCCTCTGCCTACGAGACTTGGTCCAGTTCCCTTTACTACCACTAGGGGCAGCGTTTTCTTCTGGTTTGCATAATTCACTTCAACCTGAGCTACACCAACCACTGTAATTTTCTCTCCACTGTATGATTTAAGAGAGAGTTTACTTTCTTTAATCTGTGGTCTACTGTCTTTATGCCACAACTCCAAAAAGTGGTTTTCATTCATAAGACTGACACTGCATCCTGTGTCAATTTCAAACTTCACTTCTTTTCTGTTAACTTCCACTTTTACTTCGAAGGGCTCAACTTTCTGGATAGACGTTTCCGTTGACAAACATGCTAGAGTGAATGCTTCTTCATCTTGATCTGAACTATTGTCATAATCTTGTTTTTCACATACTTTGTGTGATTTGTGTGACCGTTCTTGGCGCCCGCCTTGCTCCTTTTTCCTTAAGACTGGTCTCATCTTTCCTTTTATTTTTGGACCTGCATGCCCTGGCAATATGTCCTATTTTCCCACAAATGTGACATTTGGCATCTTTAAACCTACATTCGACAGCACTGTGGTGTTTGCCATGACATCGGTAACACTCACTCTCTCTTTTTTTCCAATCTGCTCTCTTTTCTTTTCCCTCCGTCACCATGCTGTGACACGCCGCTGACTGTTGCAAGACTGAAACGTTCCTGTTTGCAGCTTCTTCGGCTACAGCTGTCTGAAATACTTTTTCAAATGTCAGGTCACTCTCCGACAGCAGACGTCTTTGAATCCTATCGTTATAAATCCCGCACACTAGACGATCTCTCAGCCGCCGTTCCAGCGTAGTACCAAAGTTACAATCTTGAGCCAGGCGTCTGAGCTCTGCTACATATACACTAACGTACTCAGCAGGTTGACGGAACGAGAGTCAAACTTGTATCTTTGCACAATCTCACTTGGTTTTGGATTAAAGTGCTCTTTCAGCCTTGTAACCAACTGACTGTACGTTTTAGAGCTGGGCTTGTCCGGGCTCACGAGGTTTCTCATTACCGTTCTTGGCGCCCGCCTTGACGTGCTCCTCTTTCCTTAAGACTGGTCTCATCTTTCCTTTTATTTTTGGACCTGCATGTCCTGGCAATATGTCCTATTTTCCCACAAATGTGACATTTGGCGTCTTTAAACCTACATTCGACAGCACTGTGGTGTTTGCCATGACATATACGTGGCTGGTCCCACCACACTAATAAGGATAGCCCTCTGCTTATCACTATCATCAATGTCATTTGCTTCAAAAAACTGATCAAGAATCTCACAGTATTCTTCCCAAGTTTGTTCTTTAGCATCAAATGCTGACAGAGTGCCGAATGTCGCGCTCATTGCGGCCTTGCTAATCACCTCCTTTGGTAATCTCTCCGCCTCGTGTGTATCCGCACGACAACGTGCATCCGTCCCGTTTCTAGCCAGTATCCTCATCGCCAATATGTGATATCTTCACTTCCACGAAGTAGTAGTCACTGTCAGCCGTTGTCTTTTAACTTGTTTATTCGGTCTTGAACACAACTTAACACACTACAGGCACTAGCTCCTTCTGCCCTAGCCTTACTTGCTAAACTCTCCTTCTAGCTTCCCACTGCTCCCTCTAGTGGTCTGGGGGGTAATCCAACTAAACTTAAATGAGGAACTAACTCAGTATACTACACTGTAAGTAAATTCTGTAATGACGTCAACACACCGCAGATGTAGTACCGCCAACAGGGTTTATTAGAAATAAGAGTGAGCTGCCATTCCTTAGGCTGCAGCTCGCGCCTCTAACAAACCGTTAGGAGTCTAACTGAATAGCTTCACTGCTAACACACACTGAACTCTCCGCTCTTCCGGTGTTCTGTCAGATCATCATCGGTCCTGGTCCTCCCGCTCTCCTGATCCCCCGTCCACATGACAGGTCCATCACATGTGATTGGAAGTCAGCAGAGTCAGACAGGGGAAGCCCATAACACTCTACACATAACAGTGATCACAATGCAACTTATAACAAATACACATAACCATATGGACCCCAGCAGAACTAAAATACAGAATCTTTAAAATACTACGGTGGTCGACAGGTGCAAACGCGCAGCAAACACGAGAAAAACAAATACAAAGACGAAAACAAAAAAAGAGATGCAAAAAATATTTAAAAATAAGTGTTCCAGACCACTAGAGCTTTGTGTCCGAATTCAGGGTCTGCATCCTTTCAAGCTTATTCTTTCGTGGGCTTGAGAAACGACCCGGTCTACGGAAGAGGCCCACATGTGCTCTCTGCGAAGGCAGAGAGCATTGCAGAGAGAAGCTGTAGCCTTCAGCTAGCTGCCTAGCGTCCACCTCGACGTTATGTTGCTTAGCAGCCGTGACACAACGTGATTTAAACAATGTTTGTAGGCGAGAATGTAGATGTATAAATCTCACATTTCTGCTTGGTTCATCAGTGCATCACCTAATTGCAATATTGCTCCGACGTTTTCGGAGATATCAGCACCCCTCGCCAGCTGGTCCAGGTTTAGTATACCACGGGAGAACACCTGACTCATTTGGGCTTCCCAAATGACAGTTAGTTAAACACAGATATTAAGCCCAGGTAACATCTAGTTGTAATATTTTGGTTCACTAAAATATTTCATTTATTCCTGAGCAAATCTGTTTGACTGATTAAAGTGAAGCCTAAAAACATAATAGTTTGATTAAACTGTATTGTCTTACCTGAGATTTGGAGAGTATTTGAAAAAGGATTCGTTGCTTACATTCCTTGTGTAAATGTGCTATACGTGTTTGAAAATTTTAGAATCAGACTAAGATTTTTTTAATATGCAACAGCCTTTATTACAAAAGGTGAAGAGTAATAGAGGAACTAGAAAATTCCTGCAGAAATTTTAAGGGGCCTGCCAAAGTGTGCCCGTCGGTTTGGACCCAGCGTTCTGATGCTAAAAATTAGCATTAATGCTAAAGAAAGCTTCAATGTAGTCAATAACCTGTGGAGAGTCAGAAGCATGTGGACTAAGCTGTACTTGTACCATTCAGTATGTTGCATACGGTAAAATTAGCCAAAATGCTAATAATAGCATGAATGGTATCAGTAGAATGTGGGGTATCACTACCATGTTGTCACCCCCTGACTCAGTCCAATCAGTATTCTAAACATGGCTAATAAGTAAAGAAATTGGCTAAAAGCTTATTTTAGGTAAAATGCTAA